TTTGTATCTTTATATATATATATATATATATATATATATATATATCTCCATGACGAAAGATGAAGATTCCTCAGCCATCATGTGCTTGTTCGCCGCTCCTGTTGGCGAATGGCCAGATAAAACTAGAAGTCCACAGACGACTGGAGAGAATTTGACTGAACGTCCCACTGCTGAAAAGCGGCCCTTCTTTGGGAGGTGGAGGAAACCACACAGGCCTTCCTCACATCGAGGACTTCATTGCCTTCAACAACTTTCAGATGAGGTGGTAAATCCGGGCTGTGCACCATCTTGAACGATCGGTGCCGAGAGACAGTTGGCCAGAGGTGTGTGACGTTTATTTGTATCACGCTCCGGAGGTCAACGCATCAGAATCAGCCCCTTTCCACATGTGCCCGACACATGGCAGTTTATTTAGATCAAATTCCTTCAATTCCCCCCTGCTGCTAAGTGACCACCTTTTAAAAACACCTCCTTGTGGTCGGTGTCTCACTTTCTCTTCTTCTTCTTCTCCTCCTTTCCAGTCTCTGGGTTTCCCATCATGCCTGGGTACAATAGCAGCTTTCTTTCTGACACCGACTTTCCAGTTTAATTTGTCAGGATCGGTCACATCCTGGTGCTGTTGGCCCCAGCTGTGATAGGAGGGCAGGATGAAGCGGGAACGCCGAGTGTCAAATCTAGCGTTCTCCTGTGGCTCCTGTGTGATAGAACACACACACACTTGCACAAACACTCACATGCAAAGCCAAGCTATTCGTGTGAATCTGTCATAACGGGCCCATTTGTGTATCATGAAACTTGGAATATGATCTTAGACGGGTGAAATAATGAGGTCAGTGAGTTAGACGATGATGACATCACATGTGACTTATCGACAAGTTCTTAAAACTCTTCACAACCTCTTCACAACTCTTGACTATATATTAAAAAATAATGAAAAATTTGTTAGAATATAATATATATAAAATATATCATAAAATAATTATATATATTATATTTTTTTAAATCATTTTATATATATATATATATATATATAAAATGCTTTGCGAAAGTATTCATATTATATTCATAACCCCTTCATTTTTTTCCACAATTTGTCATTGCAGCCTTATGTTAAACTGCTTTAAATTACTTTTTTTTCCCAGATCATTCTACACTCCATGAAAATGAGCCTACTTTCAAAAATAGTGGAGTGTTCCTTTAATAATCACTCCGCTCCAGCTCCGCTCCGGGTTCACCATTTCCCGCTCCCGCTCCACTCCTTGCTCACTGATATCAGAAACACCGCTCCACCTGCGCTCCTCGGCTAAAGTATTTCAGTATGTTTGAAATATCACAGTTCTGTTCATAACATATATTAAAAGAAAATAATAAAATAAATAAAATGACAGGAGCGTTTCAAAGTGGATTATTGGAACACTAGTGGGCAAACTTTTTTGCTACCACATGACAAGCTAATAACATGGTTGTCAGCATTAAAAGGTAGGCTATTGATGCTTTTTGCAGTGCAAATTTTGTTTGTGATGAAAATAAATAAGTTTTCGTCAGTTATTTTATCTACAGATCGCTGCTGTATTACGGGCTGTTGGCATGAATTGTACTCGTGATGGAGCGGTGGTGGAGCGCTCTTGGAGCGAATGAAAACCACGACGCTCCGACTTTTAAAAAATCGGCTCCTAGCTCCATTCAAAATCACACCGCTCCCTCTCCGCTCCGCTCACATACTCTGCTCCATACACCATAATGACAAAGCACAAAACAGATTTGTGACAACTTTGCAAATTTATTAAAAATAAAGCACTGAAATAGGTACATTGCATAAGTATTCATACCCTTAACTAAGTACTTTGTTGAAGCAACTTTACAGCCTCAAGTCTTTTTGGGTATGATGCGACAAGCTTTGCACATCAGCATTTGGCAATTATCTGCTATTCTTCTCCTCACCTCTTCACCTCTCAAGCTCTGTCAGGTTGGATGGGGGCAGACGCACATTTTCAGGTTTCTCCAGAAATGTTTGATTGGGTTCAATCCAAGGCTCTGGCTGGGCCACTCAAGGACATTCACAGAGTTGTCTATAAGCCACTCTTGCTGTGTGTTTAGGTTCATTGTCCTGTTGGAAGGTAAACCTTCTGCCCAGTCTGAGGTTCTGAATGCTCTGGACTGGGTTTTCATTAAGGCTATCTCTATATTTTGCTGTGCTGAGCTTTCCTTCTATTCTGGCGAGTCCCTCAGTCCCTGCCGCTGAAAAACAGCCCCACAGCATGAGGCTGCTACCAGCACACTTTACTTTTGGGATGGTGCTCTGCAGGTGATGAGCAGTGCCTGCTTTCCTCCAAACATGATGCTTGGATTTGAGGTTCATCAGACCAGAGAATCTTGTTTCTCACAATCTGAGAGTTCTTTAGGTGCTTTGTTGCACATTCCAAGTGTGTTTTCATGTATCTTCACTGAGGAGAGGATTGAGTCTTGCCACACCGCCAAAAAGCCCAGATCAGTGTAGTGTTGCAGTGATGTCTGTCCTTCTGTAAGTTTCTCCCATCTGCATATATGATCATGGAGCTCAAATAGAGTGACCATCAGCTTCTTGGTCATCAGTCTAACCAAGGCCCTTCTCCATCAATTTCTCAGTTTGGCCAGGAGGCCAGGTCTAGGAAGAGTACTAGATGTTCCAAACATCTTCCATTATGGATAATCTTCTGTGAGCCTTCAATGCAGTATATTTGTTTTCCTGCACTTTTCCACAAATCTGTGTCTTGACAATCCTGTCTCTGAGCTCTACAGGCAGTTCTTTTGACCTCAGGGCTTGGTTTTTGCTATGATATGCATTTTCAGCTGTTAGACCTTTTATTGACAGATGCGTGTGCCTTTCCAAACCATACCCATTCAAATGAATTGGCCACAGGTTAACTCCACTCGAAGTGTAGTAACATCTACAAGTGATATGAATGCTCCTGAGCTAAATTTCAAGTGTCCCAGAAAAGGTTATGAATTCTTATGCCATGGAATTGTTTCAGTTTATATTTCTACAAAATTTCCAAAGCTGTTACAAACCTGTTTTGTGCTTTGTCATTATGGTGTATGGAGTGTAGATTGATGTGAGAAAAAAAGTAACTTAAAGTGGTTTAACATAAGGCTGCAACACAACAAAACATGAAAAAAATGAATACTTTCGCAAGGCACTGTATATGTTTGTCACGATTTCGGTGGGGTCTACTTGGGCTTTGTTATCATGGCGCACATGGCCTTTTGTTTTGACGGCTTGCCATGTGCTCTGCTGTCATCCTGGTGTTCACTCCGCCCCTCTCGTTATCCCTGTTAGCTAATTCTCCGTTCTCACCTGCACCTCGTTTTGTCCTCATTATTCTTCCCTTTATCTGGCCCTCTTGGATGCTATCTTGTGTCAGTCCGTAATATGTTGTGCAGCAGCTTAGATCGTCTCTGTCCATGCTGTGTTTGTCTGAATCAGTTTTTTATTTTATTTTTTTCTAGTCTAGTCGGTCTGGAGTTCCTGTGTTTGTCACCCTTCTCTTTCTACCCTCCTGCCTTCCTAGAACTCTGGTCGGCTCCTGTCCTTGGCTCTCGCTTCTCATAGGCCTGTCTCTCCACAGGAGTTCCGTCCTATTCCTCTCTGCCCATGCTCGAGATCACCCCTGGAATTCAGTGGTGGCATTCTGTTGCCGGTTCGCCGCCTCTCTTCCCCGCGGGCTCGACTGCGGCTGGTCTAACCTCCACGCTGATCGGAACTGACTTTTTGCTGGGGTTTTGCTATCCGGCAGATTATTGACTTTTTGATTCACAGTTTCAATAAACTTGGAATTTGTTTTCACCTGCTATTGGACCCCGGTCTCGTCTCTGACAATAACTACATTGGGTTGAACATCAGAAAGTAGCAAAAAAGTGCTGTTTCTCTTTTCAAAGAGGCCATTTACAATGGAGTCTGAATGGAACAGCAGCAGAAAGTGTCAGGGAGAAGATAAACAATAAATAATAAAAATGAAATGAAATTAAATTAAATTACAATTAAATTATGTTTTTACCGCAAGAAACCTTGACTGACATTCTAAGTGGACAGTTATCAAAGAGCAAACAAACCACAGAGCTGAAATGTCCAGTACTAGTAACCAACACACTCATCAGCCACTAGAAATATCTCAAATGATAATATTACAATGGCGACTACAGCATGAAAGGTCTTTGAGCTACCTGGTGGAGAATGACAATTCAATTCAAGCAAAATGAGAATTTTTGCTTCCCCTCTGAATAACGGATCTACAAGACCAGTGTCTCTAATTCCTTCAAAGCCTGAATTGGTCTTCCTGCTGTTGCCGTGGTTATAGATGGCCACAGTGTGATTACGCATTGAGAACCGAAAGCTTAAGTGTGCTCTCACTGTGCCATGGATGCTGAAGAGCG